ATGTTATTTATCCTTACCGTAGGGCCGGTTCTGGTAAAAATAAAAAATAAAAAAACCCTCTTACATTACGTTTTAAGAACTTCCGGTTTCTCCACTCGCTTCTGGGACATTGAACCCTTTGCCCCGCGTATAACAGGAAGTAATAAAGTTCGGGTTATATAATTTCCCATTGACGATTATTTCTACTATTCGAATTGTTTTTTTGACAAATTTTTCATTTTCCCTAGTTTCTTCGGCTCTCAGCAGCTTTCACTTTTAAAACTGCTTGACTTGGGTAATCATTTTCGAGAATTGTTCTCGTAAAAGTATTCTGATATATTTTTTTTTATGAAGAAGAATCTGACGTCATGTCTGTCGGTATTCTTGACAACGCCTCGTACTTCTAAGTTCCTACCGTCAACTGCTTGCTTTACGCATGACGCAGGATCCGCCATCTTCATTTTTAAAAGTTCGGCTGTCACACACGGTTGTAATGCAGGTCTCAAATTATATCACCTTTTATACAATTTTACGCCTTTTAAAGTAGGCCTACTTATTAGGCTTATATTATTGTTCTGCGTTATAAAATGGCATACATTTTAGTTGAGGCCTGTGTTATGAAGATTTTAAATTATTTCCACATTGGTTTAGATGTAGAAATATTCAGCGATCTATAAAATTATTTCATGCACCAAATTTGCAGTGAAGTAGCGGTGATCGTTGGGGCCATGTTACAGGCTACTTCCCGTTGCGACAGCGACATGGAGGCTTCCCCGAAGAGGGAGCAGGAGCGTAGTAGAAGCCATCACGCTGGGTTCGGACGGGGACCCGGAGGCGCTGTTCGTAGGAGAGGTACCCCCATACCTGTGTTACCACCCAGGGTACCTACCCCTGTGCCGTCATCCGACTCAAGGTAAGTGGCCCTGTGTTATGATACCAAACATTTACACGTTATGTATATATATATTTGTGGGGCTCATGGTCCCTTAATACTGACATTTCATCGTTGTCCTCCCTTAGCACTTACCAGTCTTGTGACAACGATTTGGAACTGAGTGGCGAATATACAAAATGTCCCAACATGTATACACATATTGAGTGAATGAAATAAAGACATTTTAATAACCTACACTGTTACATACGTCAACATTGGCACTTAACGGATTAGTAAATCTAGTGTAGGTGTTAAAAATGACCACAGATTCGTGGAATATTTGCCAGGGGTGACCAACTGACTGACAAGCAGCTAAGAAAGTTGCCTTGTGTATACATATTTTTGGGGCATTCTGTATTTTACAACGACTGTGATGAAAATGGGGGGGGGGGAATTTTCGACGCAAGAGAAGATATTACTGAGAAAAATCGCGTATCTTTGGAAAGCCACAGCTAGCAGTGCGACAGTGTTGAAAATTGGGTCACCGTGCCTTCTTTGTTTTTTCAATTTCGACTTGTGTTTTGTTATACAAGAAGATAAGAAATCAGAAATTAAGTTGTTCCTTATACAGAAGTCAGAATAAAGTCGGTGGTTCGTTATATGTAGGATTTCGTTATAGATAAGTTCGTCATAATGAGGTTTCTCTCCTATCTCTGATCTGGTTTAAAAGAATACGACTTTGTATTTGGGTTGGCTGGAAAATTAGATTTTAGATTTATTTAGAAGACAATGAAATTGTGAGAAGGGTTGCGCGTGAGGGTGAGGAGGGGGCCAGATACATATCTTCCTGACACCATAAGGTGGCGACATTCCTGAAAATATCAGCCTCATTTGTTTTGATTTATTACGCGAGAGGGTGAATTTTTGGAGGAGGAAATTAAATGATAAATCTGAATTTGTTTGACTCTAAGAGTTTGTTGGTAACATTTCTTCAGTTTAGAAACATGGATTATAATGTGTGGGATGAATTTCGCCTCGTAATATGAGATGCAAGTATCGATTAAAAAAATAAAGCTGTCCCACTATACGCCATGTAGGCGCTTGGGGGGAGAGGTGATATAGCTCCTACTCATTCTTGACCTCGGCACTAGATGGGGGTGAGTGGTCAGTGTCACGTCCCGGGAAAGGACCCCGGTACCCATTGGATTGGAGACTGGGTGGGCCCCAGAGCCGGTCTGGACTCAGAGGCTAGAGGAAAAAATTCCTCTGCCTTCGTAGGGGATCGAACCCCGATCGTCCAGTCTGTAGCCAGTCACAAAAATGACTGATATTGAAAGTAAATAAATCTAAGTATTTTATTTCATAGCTGTTGAAACTTATTCGTACGCTCTCAGCAAATTCCTGAAGTATATCCGATTTTCAGCGAAATGTTGGACAGGTGTAAACGCAGACTTGTAAAGTTTCGGAAACTAATTTCGTTTGCTTCGTAAATATTTAAGTTGCGGGACCATGAATTGTGAGACAAAATTACAACAACCTAGTAAGTTTGTGGTAGAGCAGCCAGCACGATTCGAAAATTAATTGCGGTGCTAATTAGCTCCCACCCCCCCATCCCGCCCCACAGCTGATTGTAATGTGCTTGCGACTGCCAGATTGTCGCCCGAGGAGGCTTTGTGTACCGCTGCGCGTGACAGCCGTCAGCTGTTTTGTAACCATGGAAAGTTGCCATAAGTAATGCGGGTATCGGAGACTTCAGTGATTTATACCTCGTGAAATTAAGTGCCGTGTCCTTAACGATAACTTTTCCACGTGTCTGTTACCTGCGAGCTTATGTTAGTGAAGTTTCTAAGGGAGACCGGCTTGAATAATAATCTTGAAATCGTCATGTCAGTGTGCCATAATCGAACAGGGATTTTTTAACGTTCTCTGTTGTTTTTTATGTTATTTTTATGTCCATCCACGAAAATACTCCGCAGTAATATGAATATAGATTAGAACTATTTAACGTCGTCCACTATTTGGAAAGCCTGAGGGGAAGAGACCGCTGGGGAGACCTAGACGTAGATGGGAGGATAATCTCAGGCGGGATCTATGGGAGATAGGCGTTGAAGGAGACTGGATTTTGTTGGCCCAGGACAGGGTCCGGTGGAGGGCTTTGGTTAATTCGGTGATGAACATTCGGGTTCCGTAAACCATCTAGTTAGTTAGTTAGTTAGTCTAACACGTCACTGATAGTTTGCAAGCCATTTGACGTATGAAATACACATTTAAAAATTTCGTTTAAATAAATCGAGAAGCCAATAATCACCAAGATCATTTGATTGGTCGTTGTCGTTTCAGAAGTTGTTACGTCATTGCCTTTCGTGCCCGGAAGTAATGAAAATCCCACTCAAGCTTTCGTGCAGAATCTTCAGATAATTAATTTAGCTCTTTCTGAATTCATGTAACCTGAATGCGTTCTATACCTGAGGCTCGCATTTCACAGTAGTTTCGCAGTGCGAACGAATGCAATTTTAGATAATAAATTATAACGAGGGCTCTCAAAACCGCTATTCAGGAAACAAGACTTCATATCTCACGCACACGATTGCGATTTAATGAATGCTCCTAAGAAGATTTCTCTAATGAGGAGCTTCTTCATTGAATATTATTACGATGTTGAAATCAAGGAGGATGAAATGGACGGGGCATGTATCAAGTGAGACGCGAGAAGTGGAATTTTGGTCGCCCCGACGATGGAAGCAGCAAGGACCTCTGGCACAACAACCCAGAAGAGAGTCATCTTCAAAATAAAAGTAGTTAATGCGACTTACGGTAATTAAAAGGTCGCTGACCCTTGTGTCTCAAGGTAGTGACAGTGGTTGATGTATTAGACCAGTGGTATTCAACCTGGGGTACGCATAACCCCGGGGGTACGCGAAGACATCTTAGGGGGCACGTGAAATTTAAAAAATATATATTATTTTATGATAAACACTGAATAATGAGTAATGTAATTTATTTAATTTATTTTAGATGTAGATTATATACTA